AACGCAGCCACGGGGGCCTTCGGTGGAGCTCCCTGTGGGTGCCGACATGGACATGCGGAGGGCAGAAACAAGGATGGGAGGAGGGAGGATGTGGGAGGAGGAGGAGGACGAGGAGGAGGAGGAGGAGGAGGAGGAGGGCGCTCCGGGCACGTGTGCGGTCCTCTCTGCGGAGCATGGATAAGCATCAATGGAACTGCCGACTTCTGCGCCGCCGACTTCGTTCCTCAAACATGTTCCAGGTATCATCGGCGCCTCTTTCACTAAGCCGCTACCGTTATGGATCGCATACGTGCCCGAAGCGCAGGGAGGGAGTAGTCGTAGTAGTAATCGCAGCCGTAGTAGTAGTAGTAGTAGTAGTAGTAGTAGTAGTAGTAGTAGTAGTAGTAGTAGTAGTAGTAGTAGTAGTAGTAGTAGTAGTAGTAGTAGTAGTAGTAGTAGTAGTAGTAGTAGTAGTAGTAGTAGTAGTAGTAGTAGTAGTAGTAGTAGTAGTAGTAGTAGTAGTAGTAGTAGTAGTAGTAGTAGTAGTAGTAGTAGTAGTAGTAGTAGTAGTAGTAGTAGTAGTAGGAGTAATGGTAGTGGTAGTGGTATTGGTAGTAGTAGTAGTAGTAGTAGTAGTAGTAGTAGTAGCAGTAGTAGTAGTAGTAGTAGTAGTAGTAGTAGTAGTAGTAGTAGTAGTAGTGGTAGTAGTAGTAGTAGTAGTGGTAGTAGTAGTAGTAGTACTTGTAGTAGTAGTAGTAGTAGTAGTAGTAGTAGTAGTAGTAGTAGTAGTAGTAGCAGTAGTAGTAGCAGTAGTAGTAGTGGCAGCAGTTGCACGCAACGCTTGGGATAACACGGTCGTGTGGACTGCGCGGCGGCTGGAAAAGAAAATCGTCGTCATCATCATCATCATCATAATCACCATCACCCCCATCATGGTCGTCATCGCTCTACACGCAAGGACACGTGCAGGCGGATAGTCATTATCATCATCATCATCATCATCAACATAAACATATTCATCGTCATCGGTTTCTGCAAACTGACGCCCATACGGGCATATTCTCAAAATGTCCCCCCTGGGTGCTCCGAAACTGGGGTTTTGGAGGCACGATGGTCCTCCCCAAACATCTCGGCGAGGCTCTGTTGCACTTCCACTTGCGTGCCAAAGGTCCGTGGTCGCTGTTCCACTTCGGAGGTCCTCGGCGTGTGCGCTCTCGTTCTGGTGTATTTGTTGCACATGATTCTGATCGTTCTGACATACATGTAGCCGGTGAAGCATCCTTGCAATATGTTAACTTCTTTCTTCTTCTCTCAAATTGCGCAAAAGGCCGGACCGCACACGTGCCCGGTGCGGAGGAGGGGGAGGAGGAGGAGGAGGAGGAAGAGGAGGAGCAGGAGGAGGCGGAGGAAAAGACGAGGAGAGGACTCTGGACGCTGTCTCTTCAAAGCGAGGACCCACCATCACATGACGGTTGGGGAACATTATACGGGCGAATGACCCATACGTATGCAGTTGTGAGCAATGCAGTTGATAGTATCGTCCTCGGTGGCCAGGAAGTGCGTGGTGTGGCGAAATCTGGAAACTTCGGTGGGCCTCACTTTGGGGCCGCGAAACGTGTGAGTGGTGTGCCTCCGTGGACATGAGGTGGGCGGGGAGCCGCATGCGAAGCCTGCCACTGGGGCCTTCGGTGGAGCTCTGTACAGGGCCACGAAACGTGTGAGGGGTGCGCCGGAATCGACATGCGTTGGGCAGGAAACCGCATGCGAACGCGGCCGCTGGGGCCTTCGGTGAAGCTGCCTATGGAGCTACGAAGCGCGTGAGGGGTGTGACGAACAGGTTGACATGCGGAGGGCATAGGGAAGATGGGAGAAGGGAGGAGGGATGAGGAGGGAGGTGTTGTGACGCGGGGCGTTGTCCCTTCACCGCGAGGACCCAACACCATAGGATGGTTGGGAAAAAACAAATTCCCCGACTCGACGACCACGACGCTGGCGGCGGGTACGACAAGTGACAACAACCACGACGACGATGGCCGACGTTCGATGGCCGACGATGGATGAAGGAGACCAGCGGAGTAGGCCGACGACGATGACGACGACGACCACAACGATGCCGTCAACGGCGACGGCGAAGGCGACGACTACGACGTTGATGACGGCGACGAGCGACGTACGACTGAGGACGACCGCATTTCGCAATCATGGCGAGTTCGATAAGGTCGCTGGCCTCTGCTAACCCGTCTTTTTCCCTAGATATCTTTCGAGCTAGCTAGACTCGAGCGCGCGCAGAGCGCGCGCGCGATGGTTCGAGTACACATCCAGATGTACACACACATTTGCAGAGTGATACATTTGCGCGCAAGCACACTTTCGCACTTCTACAACCACACATCTAGAATGGAGGCTCTTACACACCCGCGCACGCACGCACACACGCGCGCACGCACGCACGCGCGCACGCACGCACGCACGCACACACACACACCCGCGCACACACTCACACACCACACACACACCACACACAAACACGCACAAACAAAAACACACAACCAAACTCACACAAACACACACCACACACACCACACACACACCCACACACCCACACACCCACACACCCACCCACACACCACACACCCACACACCCACACACCCACACCCACCAACCCACACCCACCCACCCACACCCACTCACCCACTCCCACCCACCCACACCCACCCACCCACCTCCCCACCCACCCACCCACACCCACACCCATACCCACACCCACACCCAAACCCAAACCCACATACACACGCACCACAACACACAACACACACAACACGCACATAACACAACACACACAACACACAACACACACACACCACACAACACACACAACACACAACACACACAACACACCCAACACACACAACACACACAGACAGAGACAGACAGACAGACAAACAGACAGACAGACAGACAGACGGACACACACACACACACCACCCCCCCCACCCCCCACACACACACACCAACACCACACACACGCACGCACGCACACAGACAACACACAACACAACACAACACACAACATACAATACAACACACAACACACAACACACAGCACACAGCACACAGCACACGGCACACAACACACAGCACACAACACACGCAACACACACACACGCAACACACAACACACAACACACAACACACAACGCATAACACACAACACACAACACATAACACACAACACAACACACGCACACACACTTTTGCGTCGGCAGCTGGGCAGAGGGCGACTGCTCCGGCGGATTGGCAACGCGGGGCGCGCTGTATGCACTTTACAGACACGCGCACCACACATACACACACTCACACACACACACCCACACACACACATCCACACACATATCCACACACACGCACACACACACACAAACACACTCGCGCACACGCACACGCACACGCACACACACCCACACACACGCGCACGCACGCACGCGCGCACGCACACGCACACACACGCACACGCACACACAACACACAACACAACACACAACACACACAACACACACGCAGACAGAGACAGACAGACAGACAGACAGACAGACAGACACAAACACACACCAACACCACACACACGCACGCACGCACGCACGCCCACACACAACACAAAACACACGACACACGACACACAACACACAACACACAACACATTGCACACACCACACAACACATTACACACAACACGCAGAACGCAGCAAACAACACACAACGTACAGCACACAACACAACACATACCACATAACACAACACACCCACACACACACTTTTTGCGTGGGCAGCTGGGCAGAGGGCGACTGCTCAGGTGGATTGGCAACAGGGGACGTGCTGTATGCACAACACACAACACACAACACACACCACGCACACCACACACACACACTTTTGCGTCGGCGGCTGGGCAGAGGGCGACTGTTCTGGCATATTGGCAACAGGGGGCGCGCTGCATGCATTTTACACGCGCACGAACACACACACCACACACACATACGCACCCACACACACCCACACACACCCACACACGCACGCACGCGCACACACACAAACACACACATGCACACGCACACGATCACGCACACGCACACGCACACGCACATGCGCGCGCACGCACGCACACGCACACGCACACGCACACGCACGCACGCACGCACACGCACGCACACGCACGCACACGCACACGCACACACGCACACACGCACACGCACACACGCACACACGCACACGCGCACACGCACACACGCACACACGCGCACACGCACACACGCACACACGCACACACGCACACGCGCACGCACGCACACACGCACACACGCACGCACGCGCACACGCACACGCACACGCACACGCACACAGGCACAGGCACAGGCACACGCACACGCACACACACGCACGCACGCACACGCACACGCACACGCGCACGGACATGTTCACGCACACACGGACACACACGCACACGCACACACGCACACGCAAGCACGCACACAGGCACGCACACGCGCACACGCGCGCACACACGCGCACACACGCGCACACGCGCACACACGCGCACACACGCGCACAACTCGCACACACGCACAGACGCACACGCACACACGCACACGCAAATACACACGCACACGCACACGCACACGCACACGCGCACACACACACACACTTGTACGCTCGCACGCACGACATATACCACTCAGCACCCACCACGACTTCATGCACAGACGATCACGCACAGACATAGGAACATAATCATGGACATGTACAAGCCCTGGCAGAGGCACGCGCACAGGCGCAGGCACACGAACAGACACAGACGCATAGTGGCACGGTTACGTTCAGGCAGAGGCGCGCAGGCAAAGGCGCATACATCTTGCAGGCATATTGCATAACAGGTGCACAACTGATGCATGATAGCGCCGTTTCTCTTTGCGTGGCTCGCCGGGAGGACTTTAGCTTTTTTCGCTCGTAACATATTGGCGCTCAGCCCACGCAGCCGCTGCACAAGAATTGCGACTTGTCTGCGCCCATCATGTCACGCTTCGACCTCATGTTCGTCATGCAGGCCGCCTTCTCTTACATGGCGCCTCCTCGCCTGCGCCTTGTCCTTTCCTCTACTCTGGGCGCCCCTGCGTCGTCATTTGCAATTGTTGCTACTGGCAACTTTGTGTTTCTGATCATGGGTAAGCTCGTCCGGATACATCGTTTGCATTTCCAGCGTCGTTGCTACGACTTACCATCTTAGGATCAAGACGTTACCTTCGTGTTTCCCATGCTGCTGATGGTCTTGCTGCTGGTGTTATTCGTCTCTGCCGCTGGCCCCTTTACTGTCACCTTTCCTTCGTTATCGTCGTCGCGTCGTCGCATTCTTCGTTGTCGCTCGTCGCCGTCTTCTTTTCCCTGTTCCTTTCCCTGGCATCCCCACTCGTCATCATTGTCTTGTCGTCTCCTTTGTCATCGCTTTCCTGCCTCACAGCTGATTTCTAACTTCTCCCTTGTCCCCGCTGCTGCTGCGCCTCCTTTTTTCCCGCTCCCCCTTCCCATCCCCATCCGCCTCCCCGTCCCCGTCTCAGGCCTCGTCTCGGTTCCTTTTGGATGCTGTTTTGGGTGCTAGTAGTGTTTGGTACTGATTTGGTGCCGTCTGGTGATTTGGTGCCGTCTGGTTGGTTAGTGGGGTTCCGCCTGGGGTCGATGTCCAGTTTCTGTTTTGGGGGGGTCGTGGACGGTCTGTATGCTGTCTGGATGGTGTCTGGGTGCAGTATGTGTGCTGCTTGGGGACTCAGTCAGTACTACCTTGGTGCAATCTGGGTGCGGTCTGTCTTTTGTCTTGTCTCGATCTTGCGGTGGCTCTCGTTTGCGGCATGCTATGGGGCTATATGGGTATGGGTATATTTGGGTGATGCCTGGTTGCTTTCTGAACCCTTTGTGGAGTTCCGTCCAAGTGCTGCCTGGCTGCTGCCCAGCCGCTGTGGGGGGCACTGTGCAGCACCGTCTTGGTGCTGTGAGGTGTACCGTCTCGGCACCGTGCGGGCGTTTTCTGGAAAGGGCCTGGGCGCTGCATGTGGCACTGTTCCGGGGCACTGCCCAGGCCCTGTCCGTATACTAGGGGCTCCCGCTGTCCGGCGAGCGCGCAGGACATCCACGACGAGACCAACGACCTCCGCGTTGCGAAGCACATCTTGTCGCTTCACAGGCAGACAACGGAGGATCGCTCTGGCGCGCGCGCTCGCGGGCGCAGGTGCGGGCGCGCCGTACATGGCTGCAGCAGTCCTCGCAGGGAAATCTCAGTTCGTGGGGATTCCTCCGGGTTCTGTGAGGAATCCGTAGGACCCAACACGGAAACCTTCGAATTCTGTCGGGGGGGCTTCAGGAGAGTTCTTACGGTTTTGGGGGGATCTCCTTTGTTGGATTTCCTGGGATGCCTTGGGGATTCCTCTCAATTCTGAGGAACCCATCTGAGGATTCCTGAGTAAATTCTGGGCATGCCTGAGGAACTCCTTGGGGGCGCCCCTTTGTTCATCTGGTGGTCTGTAAAACCCTCGGGTGAATGGCCGCTCGTACCCGACGTTAGTTGGTTGCGGCGCTCTTTGCGAAGAAGGAGGAGGGGGACGAGGAGGGTCGGGGGGATGATGATGATGATGATGATGATGATGATGATGATGATGATGATGATGATGATGATGATGATGATGATGATGATGATGATGATGATGATGATGATGATGATGATGATGATGATGATGATGATGATGATGATGATGATGATGATGCTGATGCTGATGCTGATGCTGCTGCTGCTGCTGCTGAGGATGATGAGGATGAGGATGATGAGGAGGAAGAGGATGATGAGGAGGATGAGGATGAAGATGATGGGATGATGAGGATGATGATGCTCATGATGATGATGATGATGATGATGATGATGGATGATGAGGATGAGGATGAGGATGATGAGGAGGATGAGATGAGGATGAGGATGATGAGGATGAGGAGGATGAGGATGAGGATGAGGATGATGATGATGATGATGATGATGATGATGATGATGATGATGATGATGATGATGATGATGACGATGACGATGATGATGATGATGATGATGATGATGCTGATGCTGATGATGATGATGATGATGATGATGATGATGATGATGATGATGATGATGATGATGATGATGATGATGATAATGAGGATGAGGATGAGGATGAGGATGAGGATGAGGATGAGGATGAGGAGGAGAAGGAGGAGGAGGAGGACGAGGAGACGAGACGCGAGGGGATGCGCGACGGTGCAAGGAGCATCCATCCCAATGAGCTTGATGATCTTCTTTTCTCTCGCTCTCTCTCTATCCTTCTCTCTCTCTCAGTCGTCAAGCCTCCGGGGAGGCTGCGGGCCTATGGTGATACCTTCACGTGGTGAGACCGCTCCCCCCCGCCCAGCCGGGCCAACTGAGCCGCCTCCTACAATCCTCCCGCTGGCGCTCACCATGGCCCCTCCGCGTTCGCACCGCCGCGCGACCTTAGTACGCCCTCCACCGGTTCAGCCGACTGGAGGCCCTCGACGCGCAGCCCCGAAGTCCGAGAGCAAACTCGTCAGGAAGAACGCATGCGGCGTGGCACCCCGCCACGGCGGAAGCCAGTACCTCTACAGCAAGTACTTTGCAAACAAGATCTTCAAACTCTACACACCTGGTACGCCCTCGGGACGTTTGCCTTGGCGTATCTCATGACGAGCTACCTGATGAGCTACGTCCTGCTGGTCCTACCGGACCCCTGGACGACAAACACTACAGGACCTCCAATATCTCCCTGACGCACGACCCAGAAATTTTGTTCATGACGACGTTTTTTTCGGGTTGTACCTGTTAGTTTTCGAGATCTTCCTGGCATGCAACCTGGACGCCACGCTTCTGACGCTGCTGTTTGGCGGCGCGAAGCTGGTGCGCCACATGTGCCATGTCCCCGGCGAGCGTCCGGAATAATTATTTCCTGCAAATCCTCGTTCTGCTGCTCTTCCTGCCAGAGCCGGCGCGGGGGTCTGCCCCTTCGCCGCCGCGCCCTCGCTGGAGCTTCGCTCCCAGGGCGGCCCCCCGCCCGCGCGCTTTCCCCCTCCTTCTCTCGCCCCCGCCGAGAAGGAGGGGGAGGAGGAGGGCGCCGACGGCGACGGCGACGCCCGCGCGCCGCGGGGAGGGGGGCCCTCCGCCACACTGCGCCCTCAAGCCGCGGGCGCCCCGCAGCGCGAGGCGTTCGGCGCCGTCGCCGCCGCCGCCGCCGTCGCCCCCCAGCATTCCGCAGCGGGGGCGACGCCGTCGCCGCCGACGCCCCCCCAACCTCGCCCGCTCCCGCCCCGAGGAGGAGGAGGAAGGGGACGACGACGATGGCGACGACGCTCGCTCGCCAAGTAGCTGCCGTGAAAGCTTTGCCGCGGGGGCGAGACCGCTGACCCGTCGACCAGCCCCGCCGCCGCCACTGCAGGGGCGCTCAGCGCCGCCGCCACCGCCGCCGCCGCCGCCGCCCCGACGCCCCTCGACCCGGGCTGCGCTACAGCCGCGGTCAAGGCGCCCCTCCAGGGCGGCGCCGACGTCGAGGCCCCGCCCTCCTCCGAAATTGGCGCTGGCCCCGCGCCGTCCAGCGCCGGCGCCAACGCGGCGGTGGTGCGTGCCCGGCCCCGCGCCGGACGACGTGGCCCTCGGCCCTGGCGCCCGGCCCTCGCCCCGCTACTCCGCGGTCGAGCGCTGCGCGAGGTCCAGCGGCGAGTGCCTGAAGCCTTGCAAGGCCGTCGGGCGCGCGCAGAGCCGCCGCCCCCAGCGCGCCTTGTCGCCTCGCGGGCCGACGAGCGACGCCCCCCTCGGAGCCCCGATCCGCGTCGACGCCAAATTTGTCGCTTTTAATAATCAGAACCGCAACCCCGCCAACGGACTGCGCGGCGTCGCGGTCGCCTGGCGCCCCATGGGTCGCCCACCTCGCAGACGGCCGCGTGACCCGTCTCTGGGCTTCCAGCTCCCGGCCGCGCGCCGAGTTCTACAACTCCGCCGCGAAGGGCGCTCAGCTCCCCAGCGCGGGCGTCTTCCCTCCCGCGTCGGCTCAGCACGGCGCTCGCAAAAAGGGGGGCTACGATCCCTGGGGCGACGCGGGCGCGGCGCCGCGCGCGCGGGCGCAGGCTGCCGGCGCCCCGACGCCTGCGGCGGCTCGACGACCAAATCAACGCGTGCGCGCAGTCGGGCACGTGGCCTCGGCAGTGGACAGCGACCTCGGGGGCGTCGGTGCCCGGGCCAGCAAGGGGCGAAGAGGGTCTGGGCGTGCTGCCGATTCCTGTCAAGCTATGGAGTGGGGCAAGGGCGTCCCCGCGCAACGAGTGGAGCGACTCCCTCCGTGCCCACTGGGGCACGGCAATCAGAGACAGCTCGGCGCCGAGGGCTGGGCGTGCACGCGCGCGTTTCGACGGAGGGGGATTTGCGCTCGGCGTCGCGAGCATCGCCTTCCTCACGGGCATGGAGAATTCTGCGGCAGCGTCGGCCTCGCGTTCCTCGTGGGGATCGCCAGGGCCGCCGGGGGCGTCGATATAGAGGTGCTGGTGTTTGTGGCGCCGCATTTCCTCATGTGCGAGGCGGCGCTGAGCGAGGCCGTCTGGCCACCTAGAGGCGTCGGCCTCGCAGAGGATTTTCCGCGCCCCATCCTGCAGAGAGCCCGCGTGGCCTCTCCGAGTTCAGGCTTGCGGACCTTCGTCTGCGACGCAGTGGCCAAGGCCGAGGGCGCGGAGAAGGATGCCCTTGGGCAGGCGGTCCCAGTGGCGATGGAGCTGGCTCGAGGTCCCCTCGAGCTACAGCGGCTAAAGGTTTCAGGCGAGATTGCAGTCGTCGGCGCGTCCAGGGGCGCAGTCAAGATGTCGGCGAAGGTCCCGCGCGTCGGAGGCGCACCAGTCGCAGCGGTCAGCTGCAGCAGGGGCCTGGAACTGGATGCACGCGCGGGAATGAGGATGGGGAGTCGCTGCGCTCGAGCAGCGCGCCCAGAAGGCCGAGAAGCGGCTCGGCAAGATCGAGGGGGCGAGGCGCTCCACCTCTCTGGCCAAGCTGGCCAAAGTCCCCTTGGCCAGTTGGGCCCTCTCGCAGGCGAGCCGCGGCCGCCGGCGTTCGGGCTCTCTTCCGCGGAGCGTTCGGCTGCGACGGCGAGCGGGGGAGGTGGCCGCGGGCTCGCAGGGTGGAAGTGCCTCGCCGCGACCCTCGCTCTCGAGCTGTGGGAGAAGGGGCCGGGCATGGAGACGCGTCGGAGAGCGGTGTCGGAGTGGCGGGCGACCTGGCAGCAGAAACCCCGGGCGCGCGAGAGAGCGAAGCTGGTCTGGGCCAAGATCAGGCGTGAGTTGCTCGGGGAGGGGCGGGGAAGATGGGCCTGCGTCCAGGGCCCCGTTGCCGCGCTACAGGCCGCGCTCATGGGCGTAGGCTGGCGGCCCGCCTGCGCGACGGACTGGGGGGGGCCGCTTCGTGGGCGGGCGGCTGCAGGCGCGGCTCGTGCCCAGCGGCGCGGGCGAGGGTGGCGCCCGGGACTGGGGGCGCGCGGCCGCCCTCGGCGACTTGGCGGCCGACGCGCGCGGGATCTGCTGGCGCCGGGCGGCTGGGCGCGAGGGCGGCGGGGGCGTCCAGGCAAGCGCGGGCGTCTGGGGATAAGAAAAGAGCAATCTAATCTTCGCGTGGAAGGGGCGTCCGACCTGGCGGCGCCCGACCTCCTCGCCCCGGGGGGTCAGCGGGGCAGGGCCAGAATGCAGCGGCCCGGATATCTCGTGAGCTCTGCGCCCCGCCCGTGACGAGGTCAAGAAAGACGCGTTCTACCGCCGCGCCTGGGCGCGCGAGAAGGGCGCAGGCCGCGAGGACTTCGAGAAGACATACGGGCTCGCGACACAGGCGGCGGCCCCGCTCGAGACGGCCCCGCGTTTAGGGTGAGGGTGCTGCCGTCCGCCGGCCAGGCGGTGCCTGAGTTTGATGAGTTGCACATCGGCGCCCTTGGCCTGCAGTGTCACTCGAGTGGTTTCGCCAGTTGCACTGAGGCAGAGCAAGTGCATTTTTTTGGGGGCGGCTCGGGGGGGCCATTTTCCGACGATCCCAGGAGACGTGGTTGTGGAGCGGCGATCGTGGGCTTCGCTTTGGACCCTGGAGGTGCCTGGGCTCTGGGGGAGGCCCGTGGTCGCCCGCTCCTTGGGGGGGCCCGAACGGCCCCCCGTGTTGAAGTGTAAGTTTTTTGTTTCGCTCTGGAGGCGGCTCCCGCGAGCGTTGCCTTCGCGTTCGTGGCCGACCGCAATGGGGTCGCCGGACCTCGGGGGTCTCGGATCTGAGGGGCCCGCCCCTGCCGGGGTCAAGCATGGCCTGGGCCAGTGCCCGCGGGGGCTTCCATGGCAGACATTTCGAAAGCGTTCGCGCGGTTTGGCCTCCGTTCCCCCGGGCGGAGTCTCCCGGGGAGCGAGGCCCGCGAGGGCAATTTTCTTTCGCCCCCGGCAGCGCCCGCGCCGAATCGCGGGCGGGGGGGCGGCCGAGTTGGCGCGCAGTGGCGCGGCGGGGCGGGGGCCCGAGACGGATCGCATAGATGTCGCGGCTTCGCCGATTCGCTGCTGGGCCGGGCGCGCATTGGCGGCGGCGGCGGAGGCAGAGCGCGCATTCCGCGCCGACGGGGCCCCGAGGGCGGCCAAGGGGCTGCCGAGGCACGTCGTCCTTGCCGCGCCCGGCCACTCTCGAGCTCCATTGGTTTTCCCGGGAATTTTGGCTGCGCGAGAGGGTGGTCTTCCCGGAATTCGCCGCGGGGGCTTGCCTGGGGCCCCCAGCTAAAGAGCGCAGGGGCCCCGCGGCAGCTGTCGGCGAGCGCGTCGCCCCGGCCGTCGGAGGCCGCAGCGCGCGCGAGCGCGCGCGCCCTCGCGCGCAATTCAGCGTGTTGAAAATCGTTCTTGCATGTCCGTTCGAGTTGCGGGTTGCGCGCGACCTGGGCCCCCGGGAATTTAGTTCCGAAGTGTGCGGGGAAGGAAGGGCCCCCTGAAGGTTTGGAGAAACGGTCGAGGCCCAGCGAGGGTTTGTTTCCTCGGCGCGAACAAGACTGTCAGAGAGGCCATGAATGTTAGAGTGGTTGCAACTTGTAGTGCAGTCGTGGACCTGAGAGCCCCGCCCACGCGCTCCCCAGGTGTCGGATCGGGCCAGGTTGCCGGGGCTCTGGAGGCCCAGATGGGCGCGGGGCGTCGCCGCGCGGTCCCCTCCAGGCCTGGCCAGTCCCAGGGGCCCTCCCCGTCGAGGAAGGGTGTGGACCCAGTGATTAAGTCGTTCCCCCGGGACAGAGTCCGTATGCAGAGCTCCAAAGAGTTTCCCCTTTCCTCCCTCTTTCCTCCTCCTCCTCCTCCTCCTCCTCCTCCTCCTCCTCCTCGCCGCCCTATTCAGTTTCCCTCTCTGATCCTCCTCCTGCCTGTTCTCCCCATGCGCCTCCTCTGGCTCCTGGCTAGGACAAGTCGTTTTTCCTCGGCGCCGATCCGGCCGCGGGCGGCGTGGGCGCGTTCTCCGATGGTCGAATCACGAACCCGTTGGGGCAGCCCCGCGGGTGAGGCCGTTGGGGCAGCCCCGCGAGCTGCCGGGGCGCGGGAGCCAGCCGTCTGGACAAACCCGCAGGTCTCGACATAATCGCGGCCGCGCTCAGGCGGGGGGCAGCTTGAAGTCCAGCTCTGCCGCGAGCTGCTCCGCCTCGTGTTTGAGTTCGCCGCTCTTGTGTCGAACTCCTCGAGCGCTTTCCGCAGGGGCGACGGCGGTCCGCGCTCCAGGAAGTCTCGCGTGGGCAGCCGCAGGATCAGCATGCTCCGCGCGCGCGTGGCGCGGGGGAACGTGACGTGGAGGTGCAGTCGCCAGTTGTTCGTCCGACATGCCCGTGCGACCGGCGTCCTCATCCCTGGCGCAGTCGCTGGTGGCGCCCTTGCGCAACGTCTGACCCTACGACGGCGTCGGGGTCAGGTGGGGCGCGCGCGTCATGGTGAACCCCGAGTGGCGCACGACGTGCGGCCCCGAGCTCTGGCCACGTGAGCACCTGCTCGCTGGGCCTGAACATGAGCAAGCTCCTCGCCCGCGCATCGGCCTCGCCGCTCTCGTCAGCGCTTTCGGCGCCTTGTAGCAGCAGTTCGGCGACTTCCTGCTAGATCGGGACTCCTTGAAGCCGCGGACTTGCAATTATATTCCCTGCGGTAGGTAGCGGGGGCGAAAGAGCTGGCCCGGCGCGCGCTTTTCGTAGTCCCGCTCGTCGTCTTGGTGAAGCTCGAAGGACGCGATGTCTGCCCGTTGCTCCTGCACGAACCCTATTTTTTCTCTAGCTCAATTTGCGCGGCCTTGAAACGAATCTTCATGCCGACGTGTGCCAGTAGGACGTCGTGGGTGTCTCCCTTCGTGTGCATGTTCGGAACATAGGCGCCGGCCCGCGTCTGGATCGTCTTGAATCGCGCTGCACTCGTTTACGGCCTGCAGGAGGACGAGGGGCACGCCCAGACGCCGCGCGTCGCGACGAGCTCGCGTGTTTATCCACCTCGCAATTCAACATTAAACGAGGTCCCTGCTTGATAATTCCCCCATGTTCAAGCCAGAGGAGCTCAAGTCTGAAAACACATATTTTTTTGATGACCCGCTCGGATTGCTAACGTGAGCTGCGGGCCCCGTAGAACGGGGCTCCCGCCTGTGACTTCCTCGTGCTCGGCTCACAGACGACGCTCCCGTGTGATATTTCCGCCATGTTCAGGCCAGAGGAATCCAGACACAAGTTTTTTGATGACCCGACCAGAGTACTAACATGAGCTGCGGGCCCCATGCGGAGGGGGCTCCCGCTTGAGATTTCATCGCAATTCGCAGACGGGGCTCCTGCTCGAGACTTCCACCATACGCAGGCCATAGGAGCCCCAAACATGAAGAGAGTCACATTTTTTTGGATGATTCGCTCGGACTGCTAGCGGTAACCACAGGCCCCGTAGGGAGGGGTTCCCGCCTGAGACTTTCTTGCCATTCTCTCACGGACGGGGCTCCTGATCGAGTTTCCCACCACGTTCAGGCCAGAGGAACCCCAAAACAACGACAGTTACAAGTTTTGGGTGACCCGCTCGGATTCGTAACATGAGGTGCGAGCTCCACAGGGAGGAGGCTCCCGCTTGAGACATCTTCGCAATTCACTCACAGACGGAATTCCCGCTTGATGTTCTTTCATGTTCAGACTCCAGGACCCCATACGTGATGACAGTCACAAGTTTGTAGATGACCCGCTCGGATTACTACCCTGACCTGCGGGCCCCATAGGGAGGGGGCTCCAGCCTGAGACTTCCTTGCAAGTCATCCACAGACGAGGCTCCCGCTCGAGACTTCCTCAAAATGAGTGTGTGTGTGTGTGTGTGTGTGTGTGTGTTTGTGAGAGACAGAAAGAGAGAGAGAGAGAGAGAGACAGTGATTGGAGGAATGCGTGCAATGCTGATGATGCTGGTGACGATGATGTTGATGATGATTTTGGTGGTCATGCTGACGAACGATGGCCGATGATCATCATGGGATGGTGACCGTGATGATGATGACGATGGTGGTGTGGTAGTGATGATGATGCTGATGTTGATGATGATGATGATGATGGTGATGGTGGTGCTGATGATGATGATGATGATGATGATGATGATTATGATGGTGGTGGTGGTGGTGGTGATGATGATGATCATGATTCTGATGATGATGATGATGATGAGTGGTGAGTGGTCGTGATGGGTGACTCAGTCAGTGAGTTATGCGTGAGTGAACGAGTGCAGAAGATGATGATTCTGCTAATGTGGATGATAATGATGATGATGATGGTGATGATGATGATGATGATGATGATGATGATGATGATGATGATGATGATGAGGATGAGGATCATGATGATGACGATGGGATGGTGGCTGTGATGATGACGATGGTGTTGTGGTGATGATAGTGATGCTGATGATGGTGATGGTAATCGTGATGAGTGCGATGTGTGATGATGAAGAGAGGGCGTGTGTGTGCGTGTGTGAGAGAGAACTGCGCGGGGTGTCCAGCGAAACCAAGAACCCCACTTAGGATATGGGGAACTACGGTAGGTTCGTGTCGTGTCGACCGGCGGCGAACCCGCCAGCGGCGTTCACGTTTGAACGCCGCGGGCGACCCAGAATCGTTCGATGTGGAACGATGTGGACGTTTCGGAATTTCGGAAATGGCCGATCGTTCAAGGTTGAACGATCCCCGCGATGTCAGGAACCAAAGCCGAAGTCGATACGACACGAACCTGCCGTACTCCGCTCTATTCGTCACGCGGCAGCGTTGAAGGGGGCCGACAAAGAGTACTGAGCCACTCCGCTCGCCACGTGGCAACGCCTGGAGGCGCACAGAGAACGTCTTCCGCTCCAGGCGTCACGTGGCAGCGCCACGGGGGCCGAAGCAAACATCATTCCACGACGACAGCGAGGACGACGACGAGAGCGACGACGACGACGACGACAATGACGAGGGCCAGGGAGGCGAACGATGATTCGATCCAATCCTCCTCGTCCTTCTTCCTCCCCCCTCCCTTTGTCCCTCCTCCCTCCTCCCTCCTTGCTTCCTCCCCCTTCCTCCTTCCCTTCCCCTCCTCCTCCCTCATCCCTTCTCACTCCTCCTCCTTCCCCTCCCCTCTGTACCTTACTCCCTTCTCCTCCCGCCCTATCCTGCTCCTGCTCCCCCTCGCCCACAAAATACTGCACAATGCAAAGCAAAGCAAAGCAAATGCAACGCAACACAGTGTAATGCAACGGGATGCAATGCAAGCCAGCGCAACACCATGCAACGCAACGCAAGGCAATGCAGTGCAGTGCAGTGCAGTGCAATGCTGTGCGATGCCACGCAGGAACGCAGTGCAATGCAGTGCAGTCCAACACTCTGCAACGCAACGCTGCGCCCGCACGTCCGTGCGCCCGCCCGCTCGCCCGTCCGCTCGCTCGCCCCTCCGCGCGCGCCTCCCACCCATTCCATTCCGTGTCACGCCATTCCATTCCATCCACTCCTGCCTTCAGTTCACTACGCCCATTCCACTCCATTCCGTCACACCCTTCCCTCGCCCGGCCACGCGGTCATTCTAGGCTCCAGGGCAAAGAAGATTTGGTCTGGGCCCAGCGGCGTGGAACAGCCTCACAAAATGCACCGGGAAGTGCTGGTTGGCTGGTTGGCTGGCTGGCTGGTTGGCTTCCCGGTTGCCGGGTGAGCCAGTTTTCAGAGGCCAATTTTGGTACATTTTTTTCACGGATCGTGCTTAGGGAGCCAGAAATTATTCGTTGACCAGACATGTTTTTTTTGACCCGTTTTTAAAATCTATCGTAATTTGAGATAGTCTTGACCCGCGACCTAGGGCGCGCTTGGGCCGATCTTGGGCGCTCTTAGGGCCGTTTTGGGGGCCTCTTGGGGCTCCCTTCGGCCATCTTGGGGCCATCTTGAGGCCTCAAAGCCAGTCGGAAGCGAAAAGGCTAGAAGGCAAACATAATTGGTTCTCCTTCGGTTTTTGACGGATTGTTGAGTCTTTGGGGGGTCCTGAGGTGGCTCCGAGAGCTTGTGGAGCCGTCTTCTGGTCCTCATGGGGCCTCTTGGAGGCATGTCGGAAGATGTCTTGAATCATCTTCGGCCATTTTGAGCCATCTTGGAGGCTACTAGAGCTCTCTTGCGTTATCTTGGACGCTCTAACCCCTCGCGCCCCCGCCCCCCAGAAGCCTCAGGGAGGGGAGGGGGGGGGGCACAGGGTAATTGGAAGAGGAAAGGACGGCATCCTCAGACCACCTACACCGAGAGGCCGGTGGGATTTTACATATGCCTGTCTCGCTCTGGCTCTCGCTCTGGCTCTGGCTCTCACTCGCGATCTCGTACCCTCGAACCTTTCTCTCTCCCTATATCTATTATCTCTCTCTCTCATTTTTTTTTTTCTCTCTCTCTCTCTCTCTTTCTCCGTCTCGCTTTCTCTCGCTTTCTCTGTCCCCTTTCTCCCTCTCTCTCCCTCTCTCCTTCTCTCCTTCTCTCACTCTCTAACTCTCTCTCTCTCTCTCTCTCCCTCGCTGTCTTTCTCTCGCTTCCTCTCCCTCTCTCTCTCTCTCGTTTTTTTTTTTTTTTTTGTTTGTTTTGTTTTGTTTTTCTTGTTCTCTCTCTCTCTCTCTCATTATTTCGTTTCCTTCGTGCCAGCCTCCAGCGCGAGGCGCATGCCCAGCTTGCCGGGCGGCGCCTGTACCCGCGGTCCGACTCGGCGCGTCTCTCTTTTTTTTTTCTCTTTGTCTCTCTGTCTGTCTGTTTGTCTTTGTGTGTATGTGTGTATGTCTGTGTGTCTGTGTGTGTGTCTCTCTCTCTCTCTCTCTCCCTCAGTCTGTCTCTCTTCCTCTCTCTCTCTCTCTTTCCCGTAATCTTCCTCTTTCTCTCTGCGCCGTGCGCTCAAGTGCTGTCGCCATCGCGCATCCTCCTGTGGCATCCCTGCTGCGATTCCGCGATACGTCTCTGACACCAGAGGAGACCAGCCTGCAGCTCTCCCCCACGGACCTGATGCGCTACATCCGCTACGCTCGGGCGCACAAGCCGAAGATCACGCCGGAGGCGCGGTCCTCGGCCAGACGATGCTCTGCGGCGCGCGGACGCTCGCGAAGCACTGTCTCCCCCCCCTCCCTTTTGCCATGACGCAATACGAATAATACTCTCCTCTTTCCCCCGAGTCTGTCCGGAAGATGTCCGTCCCGCCCCCCGCGACTGGCTTTTTACAAAGGATTCCGGCGAGCTGCTTGTTTTGTTTTGTTTTGTTTTGTTTTGAGGTGTTTCTGCACATCCGTCTGTTTCCGGTCAGTCAACATGTTGTTCCCGCTGCAACGCCTTCTTTACTTTCGGGCTTCCGCTCTTTCCGAATCGTGTTCCCGCTGCAGCGATGGCCCCATTTCCGCGCCTCCGCTCGTTCCGAATCGTGCTCCCGCTGCAGGGCTGGCCTCATTTCTGCGCTTCTACTCGTTCCGAACCGTGCTCTCGCTGCAGCGCTGGCCTCGTTTCCAATGCCACGCCATGGCATGCAGTGCAATGCTATGTTGTGTTCCGCTGAGCGATGCCATGCCTTCAGCTGCAATGCTACGGTATGCGGCGCTTGACCGCGCAGTGCCATGTCATGCTATGTCATACTACGCGTTCATCTTCAACGCCATGTTATGCCATATAATGCTATGCCATGCTGCGACATCCGACTGCGCGAATAGAGAGGATATCTACGCCATGGTAAGGGATGGGAGGGAGGGGTAGGACGTCTGACAATCACAAGACTCTTGCGCACCTAGCTCGCTCCCTCCCTCCCCTCCCTCCCTCCCCTCCCTCCTTCCTCCTGGCATGCATGCGCACGCGTTGGTCTCTTGCTTGTTGTGGCTCGGATGTCCCTCCTCCCGGCGCCGATCTAATCCAATCCAATCCAATCCTCCTCCCCTCCCCTGCTCTCCCCGACGTCAGCCCCTGATCGCGTCCCCTCCATGCTTATTTCCCTGCGCAGGTTTAGCGAGGTTGGTAGGCTAGGTCCACAATGAGAAGAAGGGCGCCTGGAGCAGTGAGTGCAGCTGTCCGTCGCTTCGTTCATTGGTCCTGGAGATGAGGCGTGCCCGTGGGGCCTACACAGCATCACCAGAGTTCTTCGGTGCATGCGGAGGACACCGTAGCAGAGCACCCAGGCACCGCTGCGCAGCCCCGCATGTACCTGAGGCATGCCCCCTAGTGCTAGACGTTGTCGATGCCGCGCGGGGCTTGCATTCTGCCCAGATCATTTGAAGTCTCCCCCCTCTACTTACTCAGTTTTGATGATGTAGGTCATTGTGCCGGCTCCATTAATATGTCGTCGCCTTTCTGCTGCGCTGGCCGTATTCCGATCGGCTCGATCCCGCGGGCGGTTTGATCGATTTTTCGAGGGCAGTGGATGGGGCGGGGGGGGAGAGCGGGAAGTGAGGGAGGGGATTAGAGGCAATGACGTCGTAGCCATAACAAGAGTGATGGGACCGTCTAGGTTTGGCTGAGGATCTTGTTCTCGATGGGGACCCTTAGCCAATCGCAGGCCGCTCTCCTCCTCGTTGGATTTGGCAGGGGCTTCCGTTCCCCTCAGTGCAAGAGAGAGGGGAGGGTGAGAGGAGAGGGCAGGGGATAGGGGAGGGAGTGGAGAGGAGACCGGGGCAGGGAGGAGAGGGGATGGGGAAGGGAAGAAAAGGAAGAGTTGTGGTCCTTGTCCTATAGGTCGGGAGAGGGGAAGAGAGGGAGGGTGAACAAAACAGTCGATGGCATTCATTCCTGCCCAGGATACGTTATTTTATCATCCATCCGCTTGTTGCTGCGGGCGTTTGGCTCAAACCATTGATGCTTCCTCAATAGAAGAAGTACCAGTGCTCACTGTGGAGCGCAAGCCGCTTGTCATATATTGTCAAAAGAAGTGGCGCGCGCGCCGCTATGTCGTCGATCAGCGCGGAGAGACAGAACTTGCATAGTGTCTTCACAAGGGGACCACTCTCTTAGCTAGGAGAGTATGGGAAACATACGTTGCATGCGCCAGGCTGTTTTGCATACGTTGTAGACCATCTGATCAAAAACAGGGCATCAGCCGAAAAGGAGCGGGTTGGTTTCCCTTGCGTGGACTTGGGATGGCAGCTTACGTCGCACTTGCAATGCCGTTTGTAGTGGGAATGCGATGCCAAACGAGAGTCGGCGTGACCTCGCGAATTCGATTTTCCGAAAAACGAATTTTGGTGAGCATCGTCCAATTTCGGTTCCCGGAAAAAAAAGATAGCAGCGACTGGCTCTTCATTTCAGAAAGCGAACGAGGATCCCCGCGACAGCGTGATCATGGGTCGCATGCGTCGTGGATTCCCCGATCAGTGCCAGGACTGCCAAGCAATGGTCGGACCGACGTTGAGCCGTCCCCAACGCAAGAAGAATGCCCTGCGATGGTGTGCCCCGGCGTTGCACGGACGAAATAGGGGGCGCACGCCGCCGCAAATGGAGCCGACTTCCCAGAGGAAAGTCCGGCCGTGACTGACGATCAGAGTCCGCGCGTCGAAGAATTCCAAGACGGTGGGAGAGGCAGGGGCCGTGCCGAAATCGCCACTGGCGATGACTACGGATACCCGCCCTGCGCAAGAGAAGATGATGACGCAGCAATCGGATGGCAGGTTTTTGGCCAGTGCCGCGACGACCTGCACGCAAATGACGCTGTGTGCCTTCAGCATGTTCGGGCTCTGGCTAGCGCGGAAGAGTCCATGGAAACAACGAGGGGCCCTCAAGAGACTGCTCCAGAAACCACGCCGAGTGTTCTTCTCGATCTAATCGAGGTTTGCCAGCCTTGAGTCGTCGTTGGCGCGGGGGGCAGTGGCTCGAGAAGGGGTTCTCCATGTTCGAGGAGAGCGAAGGAAGGTGGAGAGACTGAATGGCCTGGGGGCGCGGCTAGGAGGCATCGTTTGGTGCCGTCACAGTCGCCAAAGTTCGAGGACAATCAATCGTTCGCCGGGCGCGCCCGTGGGGGAAGCTCCTCTCAGCCAGAACACCGCAGAGGGAACCCGAGAGGGGCGATCCGACGACCCTTATCAGACAGTTGTGGCAGAAAAGAGATTGGTCGAACACCTGGCGGGTCAACTCAAGAATGGCCCTGTCGATTCGAACTAGGAACGACCGGTGCCATTCGAATCGTATCGGGCCATGGCCCAGCGGGACTGTCAGGTCGAGCTTCTCGAACATCATAATCGCAGTGGAGAGTGCGTGCTTGTAGCCGACGCACCAGCGTGGAAACGTGGCAGATTCTCGGGGCTCTCCGTGCCGGGGCCAGTCAGGAAACTGCCCCAGGCCCGCGTGCTAGAAATGTTCTCGCATCTGCAGTGACTGCAGTGTGAATTTCCTGTGCGGTGGGCGCGTTGTCCCCGCCCGGCCGCAACTGGCGGTGGCAAGTGTTTCTCTCATGTTTCCACCCCCAGTCATCCTTGGCGGTTTTGCGCCGCTCGTGGGGCCGCTTTCCCGGTGACTGTGCGTCGTGCGGGTGTCGGAGTCGTGTCTGTCGCGTGCGGGATCGGGTCGGGAATCGGTCGCGCGCGCGGGTTAACTCGGAGGCTTTGTTTGCTGTGCCAGAATGGCGCAAAGAAGAGCGCCCTGGCGTTGTGGGCGCTGCCCCTGCTATTCCCGCGTCCGAGCCGGCCCGCCAAGGGGGCCCCCGCAGGAATATCCGTCGATCGCCCCCTAGAGAGACCGCGGATGAGATTGCTGATCCGGCACGCGAGAAGTCCACGGTCGTCCGTGGCGTGGGCGGAGGTCGCGCGCAGACGGGGGCGGTAATTGTCGCGCGAACTCCTGGCCGCTCCCTCGGGCTCCGGCCATGTAAATCCCGGACATCTCGGAGAGGTCATTCAGAGACTGCCGACGAAGATCGGCGGGCTTACCTTTTTCCAGAAACATAAAAAAAGGTGGCTCCAGAAGCGTCGGATCGCCGGTCGGGGCGCTTTGTTCGAGGCTCTTGAGCCCGATCGCGAGGCGCTTCGATGCCGGTTTGAAAGGGGCGAGAAAACTGCCGGAAAACCTGGCGGGGCTCGGTTCGATGAGGTTCATCGTGGATATGGGTTGTGCGTGCAATCTTACTGCCGTGTGGTTAGTATTGCGGGCAGGCGTTTCGAGGCGGATCGTTCCGCTGAGGGATCCGATGTTTTTGAGCACAGCTGGTGGGCGTCGTGGCCGGTAGTCTCGCCCAGATTCTGATCGGCTTCAAAGTATTCGACGCGCTTGTAGTCGACGTTCGAGGATGGGGGGGCTGCGTGTCCGGCGTCCATCCAAGCTGCGACCTGGAGGCGGCTCTATTAAATTGGAGAAGACGAGGAAACTTAAGGGGGCGGGAAAACGGACGGCCCCTTGCCGCTGCCACCGAGTAGGGTTGTAAAGAATGTCTCCTCGCAGGGCTCAGGGGGACCTTCTGAATTGAAGTCTATTGCGGGGGCAGTGGCAGATGGGGTCAGGGAAGACTCGCGCCCAACTACACGTGCGTGGTATCGTGGCAGGTTGCGAATAAGGCGATCTCATCCAGAGAACCATGTTGGCGCGCTAGGCTGATGGAAGGGAAGATGAACCCTGGCCAGGATTTATTGGTCGTTCACAAAAGCGGCGTTTGCTGTGATGGGTAAAGGGAAGGCAACGTGGCTAGAATGGCCGTCGCAGAGGTAATTGCGCTTTTTGCGGAACGCGAGTTTGTCAAGGCCACCATTCGCGGTTGCGCGCGAGGATTGAGGATGCGCGTGGGTCGCGCGCGAGGAAGTTGTGTACTGTTGCTGCGGATTTTAACGCGACGGCATTCGTGATCGCGAAGTTGCGCGATTGTGGTCATGGTCATGCGATGGCTCGGGGAAGCGAGTTTTGGGCCGCTGATGAGTGCGCGGATGACGTGGTGCGGGTGCCCGTCGTGCATTGCTGCGTATGTCTCAGATTGGTGAGTGAGTTTGTCGTGCCTGTCGTTGTCGAAGGGTCATCGCCGTTGTTTTCGCGTCGACCGTGCTGGGCTCCATGCTCCGCCTCGTGACCCGCGCCGCGCCCCCCCCCGGGCCGCGCCCCCGCCCGGC